TTCTCTAGTTAAAAGCAAAATACATTCACAGCATGGGATATATATAAGCAGGCTTGATTGATGTGTTAATACTTCAAGATAATGTGTCACATTTGATATACAGTCTATGACATTGCTCTCTCATATCCAGAGTAAATCACAATGTTTTCACAGAGATTCAATGTTTCAATGAATCTAACCAACAAAGACATGGATTAACCGTTAGGGAGACGCCTTTCCACAGAACCTAGATGAGAAAAGTAGATTTAGGCGCTATTCATTATTGTACAGATTCTGAAACCTAAGTGAAGTACTACTAGTTCAGAAGCAGGATTTATCAACTCCATTAAAATGGAACTTTCATATATACTGAATTCGTTTAACCAATAGATAGTTCTAGAAAATAAACTGATCAAGGACGAAATAACATTTACACAAAACAAATTAAATGATTATTAGAGCCATAAGGGTAGTGAATATTCATAATCGCGTACTCGAATTCTGGGGAAAAGACATTTAACAATAAAAGGAATTATGAAATTATATAATTATCAATTTCCTTGGCCAATATACACTAATCAGTAAATAAATATGAAAACAGAAGTTATTTGATAAACAACCGAATACAACCTGTAAATTATGAAAATCAGTGAGAGATTGTAGTGATTAAATAGTTAAATTCATAAGTCGATATAAGCTAGACCACCATTGAAAACCTAGAAATATTGATTGGCCGTTTCGTCTTAGTATAGGACTCTTCAGTGGGATCGTAGATGCGAACTAATGAGAAGTTCAATACTAGGATGAAATGGTCATTCACTGTTTCAAAATTTTCAATGGTGATCTAGATTACAATGACTCACGAATTCAACTAATAAATTTTACACGTATCTAATTTTGACTTCTTGTAAATTCTAACTCTCATTCGTCTTATTTTATAATAACTGTAATAAATTACAACGATTTAATCAAAATAAGAGATTAGATTAAAAATGAGAATATAGGGTTAAATCTTAAAAAAAGCATTCATACAGACATTATCATGATAACCAATAAATTTTTAAGATAAAGACAGAAAACGGTGGGAATATTAATTATGGACGACATTTGAGTGTTGCTAGACTGACCTTCAGAGTGTACACCTTAAAAACCTGTGTAAGGAATTAAAATTATGATTTACATTTGATGGTTAAAGTTAGAAATTAGATTTACGGTTTTCATCATGAACTGACATCAGTTACAATGCGGAAATTCTATTTAGCCAAATGAATGAGTGAATTTCGAGCCAAAATCCGAGACCTATTATCTTATACGTGATTGGTTCGTCTATAAATTATAGTTTCACCAGGAAAACTTAATCAATATATACAATGATTGATAAACGAAAGAAATTAAAGATAATTACTAATGTGAAGATCAAATTAGGAAAGATGAACTATGAAATTAGCTTTTGAGAGAAAGATATAGAATAATAAGAGTATCACAACTTATAGCTTATAGAATTCTTTAAAAATCTAGCTGAAATACTTATTATAGATCAAAGCATGAATTAAAATGATTGATTAGTATGCTATTTATCTAAGAATGAATAGTTATCTTGAAAGTCTATCTTCTATGTTTATTAAATCTACTTGATCTAACAATAAATCTCTAAACATTAAACGTCACATTCATATTTACTGCTTTAGACGCAAAAATAAACCTTAAACAGAGTCAGTCCGTCAGTAACAACGTAGAAATTTGTACATACGTACATCAGTTCAAGTTGCCATACCACATTAGTCAGTCAGTCAGTCAGCTACAACGTAGGACCAGGCACATATATGCATCGGTCCAAGTTGCCATACATCAATAACTCAACAAGATGGACACCGGATTCATATAAGTAGTTAGCACAGAATCTTAAACAGAACTTATAGTAATAATATAACAAGGGACTCTATTTAGCTACTAACCCTCCCCCACCAACTACTCCTGAATGAAAAGATAAGTATTTATACTTGCTTTAACCGACAATGATAATTTTCTATTGTAACCATGAATCTAATAACTTCTGGTAATAAACGATACTCTTACATTTTGACAATTAAAAAAATATATAATTTACTTTCTTAGTTGAATCAATGCTACATTGTAAAATAGAAACAAGACAAAAAAAATATACTAAATGTGCACCAAAATTAATTACCTGAATTAGTTGAAGTAGGATGGGAATCCATATCGGTTAGGCCTGTGTTGCAGCAGAAACTACTATTATTAGTATTAGTATTATTATTCTGAAAAGAAAAAGCCGGAGCAGATTCTATAAGCAATTAACACTGAATATATCAATAGGATTATTAAACTGCAAGAAACTCACTAACATCACACCAACTTTAATCAGTGCAAATGTACAACACTTTGAAATTGTCTTATAACATAACCAATCTATTATATAAGAAGTGAAAAGTCAGTAGTTAATAAACGAATCAGATGATAAATCATCTGTATATAGTTGAGATTAATGCGTTAGTATATGTAATCCAACTATTAATCACCTACCTTTAGCAAAAAAAGGCAAAAAATCAAAACTAATTTCAATTAGAGATGTAAAGCATTGAACATCGATCTGGTGGTTTTTAAAGCAAAGTGCACACTAAGAAACTTCAGGGTCCTACATTGAGACCCTGACAACGTCATGTGTACACACTGCTGAAGAGTATCATACTAGGACGAAGCAGCTGTCTAGTGCTTCCTAGTTTTCAATGGTATTCTAGTTTATGACGAATGTGTTCTATGAACATGAATTTAAAGAACGGGATGAAAGAGAAAAAATAATGACACAAAACCTACTTATAACTTTTGCTGTTGTGATGTGAAACTAGACTTGTTCTAAAGTTCCAAATTAAATTTGCCTGTTCATGACACAACAACAAGCAATTAACACAATCATATCTTTCAAGAATCTGAGGTTAGAATATTATTAGGAATTTTCCTACTCCTAGAATGACCAATAATAAGATCCATTCACTGACCTTCCAAAACACTGTGTAAATTCGCTACTGATCATTCAACACAAAATGAAACAATGCCATTCGTACATTAAAAAAAGATACTTGTTGGTCTTTTACTACTACAGGGTAGTAAAATGCTTTAGCAAATAACAAAAATAAATACGAAGGTGTCATTTAACTACCTGACAATAATTAGTACTAATGTTGAATGAGAGTAAGAGAATATCCCCATGTAGGTAAAATTACTAGTCAGCTATAAATCATACATTTTTGTGTACAGATATAGGCAATCATATTTGGACGAAAAAATATTGAGACATAAGTTTAAGCTATTAAGTGATAACTGTAGTAACAATTTATATGTATATACATAAGATGTTTTTTGAGTGTCGTAGTAGCAAAAAATTTATTGATCCCTTTAACGACTGTATAAGGAGTGTGATGATGTAACAAACTAAGGTCCAATAACTTACTAAGTATATCGAGATATTAACCGGTTCAGTACAACCGATAGGAGCTCCTAAACATACACTACTTTTTATGCAACCCTTATCAATAAAACGTAGATAGTTATGAGAAAACTGATGAGATTAGAATAGGCATTACTCAGTTTTACAGAGATATTTGCACTGAACTATTTTAACTGTTACCGCCTTTATGTAGAACTGAGATTATTACATTACGAAACATTAACTAACATCTAGTTTTTATTTGTTTAGGTAACTTGATATTGACCAACATTTTACTTGATAAGTATTTTTGAAGCCAAATTTCAGAATAGGTGAAATCTATACAATCCATTCTCCAAAATTCCAACTATGAAATAACAAGGTGATACTTCACATCACTTTTATTTTGAACACCCTAGTAACCTTGACATACGGAAAAGATATATATGATCTATAGTCGAGTACATGAATTCAAAATAGGTTATTGAGTTGCACTAATTCAGAAGGATGATGGGGTTGCGCAAAATCGTAGACTGACTGGAGTTAAACATTAATACTTTTTGATGCCAGTCGGCTCAGTGGTCTAGAATTAAGAGTTCATACGCGGAACCGAAGGTCTTGGGTTTAATTTCAGAGTGGGGGGTGGTGCTTCCAGGTTTTCAATGTTGGTCTAACTAAGATCAGTTCGTGATTTCAGCTGTTAAAATATTTTGTAGTTTTTGTTGGACAAAACCCGTAGTAATATTTCTAGAACAATGTGCATTTTACAATCATGCTTTAATAGTTAAAGGACAATTTTCAGATGTGCTGAGATGGATGATGGTTCAAAGATAACGGACACTCAAATAAAACAATGTAACTTAAAAGCTGATCATATAAATGCATATTTAGTGGATGAGTTACGATTGGAAGCAATGATTATTTATTTATCTAGAAATAGACCAAATCATAAGGAAATGTGTCTAAATATTATCAAAAACATTCATCCATCCACGAAGTTGGACCGAATTTTGTACATATCAGCCATGAAGAATGAGAATTAAACACAATCAAAGTCGAAGTTTGATATGAGAATTCAAATTTGTAAAGTGATAATTTGAATGACAGAAATCTTCATTAAGGTTTAGTATAAATTCTAAAAAACATTATTAGCATAAGAGGTTTGTGGAAGCTGATGAGCTTTATAGTTAACATCGTGGACGGATCTTAGTTAGACAACCATTCAGAATCATAGGGGACTTGGTGGCAGTTTCTCTCTAGTACGTGACTACTCATTGGCTATGATCATACACGATCCGACTGTAGATCGAATGTAAGCTTTCAGTAGTTTGACTGTTAAACGCTCGTTACGAGACCTGGTGCTCCTGAGTCTTATTCCCGAAGGGGTCGAGAATAAGCACTCTCGAGCAATCCCATACCAGGGCAAAACATGTATCCAGCCTTCCCTGGTTTTCTTTTTTTAATTTATTTTAATACATAGATATTGGTACAAGAAGGCATCAAATACATATGCGCCACACAAATCTTATTCGATATGTGTGAGGGCTGTGATACTGCTCGGGTGCCCAAATCGAAGCAGGTGGTTTTCTTAGGGGGCCACTCCCCGAGCCTTTTCCACTGCATTTGAATTGGCCATATGGTTTGAGATAATGAAAGTTCTCTCATAAAATCGCGCGTTTACAGCATATGTAATAGAATTTCTACTCGTTTTATGAAGATGAGAACGAAAAGCGTACGTCCAGAGTTTAACTTAGGCTGTTGGATACAGAAGCTTTACTTAGTGTGTGTGTGTTTATGTGAGGGGGTTGACTTCAAACGTTCCAAATTAATTAAAAATACTAATCTCAAACGCTTTTAGCCTAACCCGTAACTGATAGAAAAACAAAAACCTGTTTAGAAAGTCCAATGAGTAATTTGAACAGATAGATCAATGCTCTATAATTCACACAACAAACTAGACTTAATAGGAGGATAATCGCCAAAAATAATCCAAACTACAAACATACACACACACACACAAACACTTCGGTAAACTCAACGAAGCATTGAAATTGCCAATGACTAACATAGATATTCACTGTTAAAAAAATGTATCTCTATGTATAAATGAAACAATTACAATATAAACATTTTAAAGCAAATCACACAGAAAAATTCTTTTTAAAGAAAAACCAAACAATAAAAAACAGAGGACACTTACTACACATAGAGTAGATAGTAATTTTGTTTTTTTTCCGAACAAGAGAAAATAATAATAACAATAGAAAGAAATCAGTGACAGTATCATAAGTGGTTTACAAATTAATAATAATAATAATAATAATAATAATAATAATAATAATAATAATAATAATAACAATAATAATAATATTAATAATACGACTATATCAGAATGGGTTTTGTGGAGATTTTTAGAAATTTCACTGGTTGAAATCATGAGTCTTCAGGAGACACTCCTGGAGTTCTAGTGAGAAGTCGTTACCAGTGGAGTTCAATCAGGTCTGTTATGAGATAGGAACCCACTGTAGACAATGGTGTACGGGTGGCGCAACTTTGTGGATTGGTTGAAGTTAGACATTAACACTGTTGGATGCCGGCTTAGTGGTCTTGTTGGTTAGGCGACTGATAGGTCCTGGGTTCGAATCTCGCGGAGGACGGGATCGTGGATGCGCACTGCTGAGGAGTCCCATACTAGGACGAAACGGCCGTCCAGTGCTTTCAGGTGGTCTAGCTTCAATTGACTCATGATTTCAACCAGTGAAATACAACTATAATTAATTATAGTAGTACAGAATCAATAAACTGGAACGAAATGAAAGTTATCAATCATAAATACATTTTTTTCTAAAAAAAATGTGGGAAACATTAGTATACTAAAGTGTTTTGTTGGACAGTCACCAACTGATAAGAGAGAGAAAGATCACTTTTATCCAAGTTATACAAATAGTAAGAGTAGTAACCAGTATGATAAGATTTGTTATCGTTTTTAGTCATAATGTTTATACAATCTCTAACATGCAAAAACTGAATATTCTTTAGAAGAAATACAACTAAGATTATGAACATCATGTTTGTTAAGGATAATAATATATTGGATATAAAGAAATTATGAATTTTAATGGAGTTTTGTTCTTTGAGCTGGGTGGTATGGTCTTGGAGCTTTCATCATTCTTCTGAACGACATCGTCAGCACGAACGTCTACCTGAAGTTACTGCTGATGATGATGACGTTTAGAAGAACGATGAAAGCTTCACGACCAAACCATCCAACTCAGAGAATAAAACTTCATCAAAATCATCCATCTGAGCTACAAATCTTCCCCACCATCTCAAAATTATGAATTCAATTTGCAGCATTTCACGTTACAACAGATTTATTGTTCTCTACAAATTGATCTGTATGTCGTTAACAATTTAAAAGTATGAAATCTTGTAATTAACTATTTGAATGTGAATTTATCAGTTCATCTATTCAATGTTTACTTTATGTTTAAGAGAAAACAATTATTCATATTCATAGAAAAAAGTACAAAAAAACAACTTGACACAAATTATCCCCAACTCAAATAATTTTAAAGACACTTCACCAATATCATTCAGTCGAATTACAAATCATCGTCATTTCAAAAGACCCCAAATGCCCTGGTAAGGCTAAGAGTGGGAGGAGCCGGCTCTCCCTCTCGAAATGCTCTCAAGTGCCCACGTGAATACAACCACTGACATGGAAGTCCTACTCACTCCCTTCTCGTGGTGGGGGTGTTGTTTACGAAATCGCGAGGACGAAAAGTGAATGTCCAACACGTTAACCGAGCTGGTGGACACGGAGGATCTACCTAGGGGAGTACGAAAACCCTCATTCCAAACCAATGGTGTACATGGGCTCCAGCATCGTAAGGAAACAAATGGTGTATGAACCTATTGTTTGTGACCGGCTACCATGTGACTGCATCTCCTGACGTTGTTCCACTGCCTTGTGGATCAGACATTTAGGTCGAAGGCTCGGGGTGTTGTCCCTTAAGAAAACCACCTGCTTCAATTTAGGAACCCGGGCAGTATCCCAGCCCTCACATAAATCGAATGATTTATGTGGTTTTCTTGTACCAATATTTATATGTTCAAATAAATAAAATGAAAACCAATAGATTTATTACATAGTGTCATCTGCAGTAAACCAATGCATTGCTTTAGTCTTTTTCAAAACATACATACTGAATTTCAAATGTCATGTATGCAAGAAACGTAATCCAAAACTCTTTTTCAATTATCATTATTCTAATTTTTAGTCTTTTAGTTAACTGGTTAAACTTTTAATTAAAAACGACATTCCTTTATTTTCCCATACTTTTCTTTTAGGTATATAGATTTCATTTTGAAGTTTATCTTAACACGTTATGTAACTTTTTATTTTAATAGTTAGTTAATTACTGTCAATTTCCTATGAAATGTTTAATTAACTTCGTTCTAAAGTTTTATAATAAAGCGCCGTTTTCCCAGTCCCCCCCTGTCAGTCCGTAACAACGTAGAACTTCGTACGTACGTACATCAGTTCGAGTTGCCACACCACCTTAACACAGAGATGCAGTTGTCGATTCAAATCCCGTCGTGGTAGAGGTAGCAAGAGTATAACCAGTAATAGGAAAGATTAGGGTTTGGAGATGTTATTTAAAGAGTATTATCCAGTGAAATAATTTTAGAAAGAGGAAGAAAGGGACACCATTGCAAACGATTTTGAGCCATGTCATTCAGGGTCTCTAACCATCGGTTGCTATCATCTCGCGGTCCCCAACCAGGTAGTCTACACCTACCAACATGACTCAGTTCACTTGTCAGTGACTTCATGGACTTGTGCCATGTTTTGGTTTGGCCGCCCCTAGCTTTCTTCCAACCTACTCCTATACCACTGAACATAGCACGTCGAGGCAGTCGGTCGTTGGGCATACGTAACACGTGTCCCAGCCATCTCAACTGATGAAGTTTCACTACTTCATCAATTGATTTGCCATCCTTACCTAGTACCCGTTTCCTAACAACTGTGTTACTTACTCGATGGTCCCATGATATACGAGCAATGTTTCGAAGACACCTATGATCAAATACTAGTAACCTACGATATCCTCTACTCTTACCGGCCATGTTTCACTGCCATAAAGTAGGACGGAACGAACTGCTGCGCAGTAAACACGTCCTTTGGTTGATAGACGGATATCTCGCCTACGCCATAAATGACGCAAGTTGGCAAAAGCTAGTCGAGCCTTCTGTATCCGTGCTGAGATTTCGTCACACACTAAACCACAAGGGCTGATGAGACTTCCAAGATAAGTGAAGCGGTCGACACACTCAACTACTTCACTCCCTATCACTAGTTCGGGTGTCGATGTAACCCAATCCTGAAGCAACATTTTGCATTTCGAGGGAGAGAATCGCATCCCGAACATGCTTGCATTGTTGCTTAGAGTGGTCAGAAGACTCTGCATTTTGTCAGCGTCTTCACCAAATAAAACTATGTCAGCATATTCTAAGTCAACAAGTGAACCTCCCGGTAGAAGTTCAACCCCTGGAAATTTAGATGAGGAGAGTGTTATCTCTAAAAGTACGTCGACCACAAAGTTGAACAAGAATGGGGAGAGTGGACAGCCCTGACGAACACCACTTGAGGTAATCAATTCTGATGACAGTTCGCCATAAGCTCTCACTCGACCAGTTGTGTTCGAGTAGAGAGCCTTTATAAGGTTAATGTACTTCTTTGGTACTCCTTTCAGTGACAAACACTGCCATAGAACCTCACGATCAACAGAGTCGAATGCCGCCTTAAGGTCGAGAAATACTACCATTGTGGGGCGTCTGAATGTGTGTCTGTGTTCTAGAACCTGACGTAGTGTGAATATCTGATCTATACAACCACGTCCAGGTCGAAAACCAGCCTGGTTTTCTCTAGTCTGCTCTTCACGAGCTTAGTTAGGCGTCGAAGTATTATTGAAGCTAATATTTTAGACACTATATTAGTCAAACTGATTCCTCTGTGATTGTCACAAGAGGACTTTTGTCCTTTCTTATAGACTGGCACAATCAGTGATTGAGACCAGTCAGATGGGATTACGTCCAGTTCCCAAATTCTACCTAAGACCTCGGTTAATCTCATTGCTAATACTGGACCACCATCCTTAAAAATCTCAGGAGTAAACCTGTCAGGGCCTGCTGCTCTCCCTCGTTTCAGATTTCCTATGGCTTTTTCAACTTCGTAAAGGGACGGAGGACCTACATTAACTTGCCATTCAGGTTGACTGGAGATCGTGGGAAACCGAAGTGTGGCTGAAGGCCAGTTGAACTGATCCCTAAAGTGTTCTGCCCATCGATCCAATCTCCTGGATTGAGAATGAATAATATGTCCATCTTTCTCTGAGATTGTTTCGCTAACGGTCGGGTTCCTAATTCCGGTTTCCTTAACAATTGTCTGCTATTACCTATTGCCGCTGCCTTTTCCATCTCTCTTGCTTTCGCTACCCACCACTGTTCGCGATCATTGCGTAGACTTCTTGTCAGCTTGCGCTTAAGCTGACTCCGCTCTTCACTATGTTCAGATGGGAGTTGAAATAGCCATAGCTGCTTCAAACTGAGGGACAAAATCTGGTAACGGATTTAGAAAGCTCGGTTAGTTTTGGACAATTTGTCACTTGATGTAGAACAGATATCCGTCTCATAACCAAAGGATGAGTATACCGCATAACAGTTAGCTGTGTTCTAGGTTATGGTTGTAAAAAAACAGCACTTAAAAACAGAGGATATTTGTAGTTTACTAGTATTTGATCAGCAATACTCTCGGAACATTGCTCATGTATGTTGGGATCACCGAATGAGCAATCTTGAGATTAAATGTCGGGTACTAGCCAAAGATGGCATGTAGATTCATGAAATTGTGAATCTTCATAGACTCATATGGTTGCTGAATATATCACTTATGTCTAGCCACCGTCTACATTGACGGGCGATGATGACTACTGTAGAAATAAATTTGAAAGCTAAGGGTGACCAAATCAGAAAATAACATCGGTTCGTAAAGTCAATGACTTTTGAACTAAAGTGCAGGCAGGTGCAAACTACCTGGCAAGGGTCCACTGGGTTAGCGTAACCAATATTTAGAGAATTTGGGTAATATTGCTCACAATCGTTCGACATGCTGAGGCTGCATTCACTCCTCGCCT